ATGACGTCATTACGCCGGATCTGGGTCAGCGCCGCCACACGAGTATTCTCGTAGCTTCGTAACTTTACAGTTGAACCACTGATGTCACACGGACTACTTTGTCGATCATCTTGGTACTTTTATGGACCTTGAATGTGGTAGTTACCTTGCTGTCTATGGGAGGGACAGAGAGCTCTCAGATTTCATCAAAAATATCTTAAATTGTGTTTCCGATGTGTTCTAGATGAACGAAGGTATTACGGGTTTGGAACAACATGAGGGTGAGTAATTAACCCTTTTAACATTATTAAACATTTTTGGGTGAACTAACCCTTTAACAATCACTGATTTTGCTGTTTTTTTGTTTTTTTTTGAGTGGTATACCTATCTGTACACTCCCACCCAAACAAACGACAAGACAACAAAACAATAAGATGTGAAAAAGCAACTTTTAATTAAATCCATAGTAAAATGAAACTGCACCTCCAGTCAAAATCAATCAGAAGAATGATATTAAAAGGCAGATTATAGTACAGAATGTTTTTTTTCTCATGGTGATGTACATTTGATGAATCAGCACATTCATGGAACGACCTTTAATGAGGGCGAACTGAGAGGTTCCTTTTAACACACATCTACTGAACAATCATGAGCTTGATACAAAGATCATATAGACATACTGTATGATTCTCCACATAAAAAAGTAACATATACACATTTGAAATTTTCATTTTAAAAAATACATTATGATAATGGACACTGAGTTAAGTTAACCAAGTTAAAAGAAGGGCTAGGTGAAAAAAACAAACAAAACAAACAAATGAGGAAAAACAGAGTTGGAAATGAATTAAGGCGAAAACAGATGAAGACAGAGACGGGAGAAAAAGAAATGTGGGTCAGTGCGCTTTGCGCTTCCTTTTTTTTGTCTTCTTGTCTTTCTTCTTGCCAGCGCATTTCACACAGAACCACGACTGGTCCTCTGGAGGGGCGGCTACAAGACCCACACAGGGCCTAAAAGAGACAGAAAGAGAGATAGATGAGTGTCAGTTACAAGATAAACATGAATGATATCGATCTGTATGATGAACAACACAACTTATGTGGCAAGTTGGTATTTTTCATATATTTCGACAAATTCGAAACTGAGATTCGAAAAAAACATGTCTTTTATATATATATAAAATACTTGATCATTCTCACCAGCAAAATATCTCCTTTCATCATGAAAGACACAATTTGTTCTGTGTGCGTTTGTGTATTTTTGATCTTTGAGCGAAGCGCATGAAAAAGATGATTCCCAAAAAGCTTTACAGTAATGCCAGGCAATCTAGGCTCAGTTTGAGTTTTTTTTTTTTTGGCTGTATGATTGGCACTTCCTCTTATTCACTTTGTTTTGAGGTGTGTGTGGCTCTTGAAATGACATGAAAGAGAATTAGTGTAAAATATAGCAGCCTTGTAACTTTAATTATAATCAAAACATACTGCATTTTGTACTTGTATGTCAAAAAAAAGTTTTGATCTGAAATTACTCCAAAATGTCTTGTGCACCACATAAGATGACGCAACTGTATGACTTCCCCTGAAGTCAAGATGAAATCAAAAATGAGACAACTTCCTTATAGATAAAATTTTAGTCCCGCCTACATTTTTTTTCCTGTAGAAAATTCTGATTCCTCAGAAAATGTCAAGTTACTAGGAAAAAAAGAAAAGAAATGAAAAACACGTTTGGCATTGACTTTACTGGAGAGAGGGATAAATATAGTGACTGTGTAATGTGAGAGAAGCTGAAAAAGGCTTTTACCAGTGATACCAGTCGTCACACTCGTCGCATCCGATCATGGGACTGCCGTCATCAGCTTTATTACATCCTGGGCAAATCCAGATCTGATTACCCCATTCATCCCGAATCTGTGATGAACAAAAACACAAGAATCAATCAAACAAATCTAACAAACTTAACACTTCTGGCACTGGTCAAAAAGAGAAGTAAAAGCAAGTGCTGTTCTACTATATACATCACATCCTATATATATTATATATATATATATATATCGAGTCTGAGGTCTCACTGAGCTGTTTAAACCATTTAAATGGTTTCCTGTTTTCAAAACTGCTTCCTGTTTTCAATGAAACATCAGCTTTCAAAATGTTATTTTTGACTTAAGAACACTTAAGAAAACACTTAGGAATACTAGCCAGAAAAAACTTGTATCTCAACAATGTGTGCACATCACAAAAATGTAAATATAATTAAATATACGCAATATGTGTAATATATGCTTTATATTTTCAATGTTACTAATGCCTCAATTATTAAATGCATGTTTGGATAAATCTAATTCAGTCAAATAATGTCTAAAAATGTCTACAAATATCTAAAAAAAAATATATATTGACAATTTGTAGTTCAGTGCATAAAATTAAAAAATATGTTTCTTGGTCAAAGTGACTTAAAATAATGAAGCTGATGCACATACATCTGTAGAGCTGTATATTGACGTAATGTATATTTGCTTGACTGTAACTGTAAATTGTAAGTATATTATTTAGCAGAAAAATATTTATTGTGATATTAATAATAAATTAATATAAATATAAAACATATGAAATTATAATGTATAATACACAATGCAGTAATTCATTTGTGTGTGTATATGTGAGACTCACCACGTATGCACTGACGGTCTCCGTGACAACGCTGCATCCCCGTGCTTTGGCCTGGCTGGGTGGCTGCAGAATGGGGGCGGCTGGGGGTGGAGGGGGCAGGACAGGAGGAGGGCGGGGTGGAGGTGCTACAGGAGCTGGGGCAGGTGGAGGGGGAGCAGGAGGGGAACGCATCCGTGCTCCTGGACTGGACCTGGCCACTGGGGTTCGTGGTGGTGGAGGTGTGGGTTCTGAATCTGGGACCACCTTACTGATCACACTGGTGAAGAAAGAGAGAGAAAAAGAGGAAGGAAAGAATGGTTACACACTGTACAATTTAATTAATTAATTTATTTCATTGAATGAATGGTTTATTGTACTACTGTTTGTGTTTTATATAATTACGGTCACACTTTTTTATAAGGTCCAATTCTCACTATTAACTAACTATTAACTATGACTTTTGCCTCAATAAACTCCTAATTTGCTGCTTATTAATAGTAAGGTACTTTTTTATATTTAGGTATGGGGTAGAATTAAGGGATCTAAAATATGATCATGCAGAATAAGAGATGAATGTGTGCTTTATAAGTACTAATAAACAGCCAATATGCTAGTAATATGCATCCTAGTTAATAGTGATAATTGGTTCTTAAAATAAATGTACAGTTGTTTTTTTCCCCTCGCATTTTGTACATTCATCATACATGCATTTGTACAAAAACTGGTAATGTAAATATTTTTGTTGCAGTTTTTTGTAAAAAAAAAAAAAAAAAAAAACCTTATATCATGCAATATAAATTTTCTATGGCTAAAAACCAATATTATGGCCAATATTATAAATGAGCTTTTCTGTTTCTGTTTGATCGTGAATAAATCAGTCAACCAATTAAATAAAATAACAAATATTAAATAAACAATTATTAAATTAATTAACAGTTTGGATGATTTATTGTGAATAAATAAATAAATAAAATTAGTAAAAAATAAAACCTACATCAAAACATTATGAATACATAAGTATTAATATGTATGAAAAAAGTTGAAAAATGTATGAAAAAATCTCTAAAAGAATGAGTAAACAACATACCATGTTTTTTTTTTAATATATTTTTTTGATGCCATACTTTTGCCTGTATATTGTAAACAGTAAGCAGTTCTTATGATATCTGCTTTCAATATCAGCTAATATTAGCTGATATTTTCACCAACATATTAAGGATCCATAATAATTATAATCTGGCAATAGAGAAGAACTGTTCATCTTTTAAATGCTGCCTGACAAACTGATTAAACCCTGCTGTTGCCGAGTAACAGGTTGATTGACAGGCTCGGAGAGTGGACAGCGGTGCTTGCTGTGGTATTGACCCTGAGAAGGGCGTGTCAAACGGTCAGCTCCGATTACACACACAGACATTCATTATTTATGCTTCATCTGACTGACACACACACACACACACACACACCACAACCATGCACAGGGCTCCCTCTCGGGGCAAAGATGGTGTGGGTATGTCCTGTCCAGGATGTGACCTCAGGACCTTTCAGAGGTCAAAGTTCACCAATGCCAATGTTTCCACGTGCATCAAAGGAGCTTCTGTTGAGATCTAGCAAAAATGTACACTGTAATCCTCTTTTTTTTGTTACTGCTGATATAAATACTCTTTTTCTCTTTTTTACGTTCATCACTGATATACTGTGCATCCCTAACGTCTTTCAAGCTAAAATACAAGTTAAACATATACAACATCTAAAGCTTTGTGCTTATGTAAACGAAACAAAACACAAGGACAGACATAAAAACACATTTTCCTCTTGAAAGGACTGCTGATTGTGTTTTTCTACACATAAAACTACAGGTGCAAGAAAAGAGCACAACACAGGCAACATCAGAGGCACGACACTCACTCCCGGGCTGAGAATAAAGGCCTTCCTGTACAAACACACACACACATAGACGTAAACACTAATGTTTCCTGTCCTGCATGCAGGTGCAACTGAATAGGTGAGGAAGAAATTCAAAAGCAGTCAAAACACTGCGCAGACGCTATACTTTCTGAGTCTAAATCACACTGGCCATTAAAGTGACATCAGTCACATGTAGACGTTCAGGAATCAGTAATCGCCTTACCTGTAGTATGGCGCTGTGTGTGTGTGAGGGGGTTAAGTGGTGTGAACACTGGCGCTATTGATAGGAGTGTGCAGGAGGGGGCCATGATGTGGGGAGTGTGTGTGTGTGTGTGTGTTTGCCCCCCTCCAAGACCTCATGGGCCGTCTGGGACTGGTCACAAGACCAAAAGCCTGAAACTCACACCTGTACACAGACTCTGAGACTCTGACCACACAGAGAGCTGCCTGATACTCTCAACCTTTCGTGTGTGTATGTGTGTGTGTGTGTGAGGTACTTACATCTTGTCTTGTCCAGCACCCACTCTGAGGGTCAGTCGAGGTATGACAGGAGACGGTGGGACAGCGGGAAGAACATCAGCCTAAACAGAGACAGAAATCATTTGAAATCTATATAAATTCAGGTCAGGTCGTCATTGAATTATTTAAGCTTAGGGATGGGCGATGTGGCCAAAAATATTACCACTATTATTTTTTTCATATCATTCGATATTGACATTTATCAGAATATTTATTGCACACCATTAACAGGGAAAGGTAACACTGGTAACACAGAGTAAGCTACCTTTTAATTTAAGCACAAATTTTATTTAGGGGGTGGAGGGGGTGGTGGATTCTGTATTTTGATTTAATACAAAATGATCATTAAAAAAATGCTAATCGAATGAAACTCATAATTTATAATTTTTAAAAGTTCACAATTTAAGCAATCTTCTAAAAATGTAATCAATACAGCAAAAATGTAAAGAAAGATTATACATATCTTTTTTTATTTTGATTTAATACTTACCATAAAAATGCTATCAAATGAAATTAATGTAAAACTGAAACTTTTTCTAAAATGTAATCAATATCCACCTTATTTTTTTAACGCGGAAGTAAGCTGTTTTCGGTGATTGTGCGAGACTTCCGGTTCATTAGCAGTGGTAGGGAAATAACGAGAAGAATAACAAAGTGCAGTAAATGGTAAAATTGCTTGCGTTACAAACCAGTGTGTTTATAATTAAGATAACACATTAAAATAATATGGTGAGAAAACACCAGTTTGCAGTATCAAGTAGCAAAACGAGCTGTTTTGTACAATTAAACATAGCTGGAAGCGGATGACACCGGAAGCCAGACACATTAAATTTACAAATGGCCGCACCCACTGTAACGGGAAAAATAAGGTGGATAGCAATTAATTTAAAAAAGATTATTACATATATATATATATATATATATAAATATATTAATTTTTTTTATAAACATCTATGTTGATTTATCACCCTGCCCTATTTAAGGTTTCTTTAATGCTATAGTCTGTTCAGTAGGGATTACAAATTACACAATAATTATCTCATGATAACCAATATACCACTCAATGTAATTATTCTATTCTGTTTTGCCTGGGGTTTTTTTGTTTTGTTTTTTTGATACAATATTCAAATTTAAGATGTGAATGGGAATTTGACATGCTTCTTGGTGAAATCAGGCAACAGCACATAATACACAGCAGAAAAGAAAAGAATCAATATGAAAATAAACTGTGATAGCCTATAACTAGCTTCAATATTGGTTTAAAAATAATAAATTATAATGAAATTAAAATATAAAAATCCCAAAAATTCAAAACAATGGCCTGATAGATACACAACAGTCTGTAACTCTAAAAGTGTCAGTTTTCACACAGGTTACGTACACTGTGCAGCTAAATTCAGTTTTCAATCCCTTTTCTGAGGGCTTAATCCTGTTCAATCCAGAATTGGTTAGAATGCGACAACTGCATTCTAAAGTTGAATTCAGAAAATTCAGAAAGTGAGAACCGAATTTTGAGTGAATCTAAAGAATGTCTACAGAACCTAACAACTACTTCACCATTAGTTTTACGTGCATAAAACATGGCATCTCAGTTGACAACAGTTTACTGAAAAACTGGTGGATATTAATGCGTCAAAAGGTAGGTAATATCGCTGTTCTTTAAAATAGCTATCGCCAAACAGGTTAAATGCTGGCATACTTGTTTTGTTTACAGCAGCAAGACACCAAATTAGACTGTCAACCATCACCGGTTTGGGGTAGCAGGATCATCCCTGTATTTCTCATACACAGGGAATGACTACTAAAAACACGGTTGTCTTTTCCAAAACTTGCAGTGTCGACATGATTGTGAACATCAAAATTCAGCTATTATATTATTACAAATCAGCTACTAATGGGGACAAGAGTACACGGCTTCACCTCAGACGCTCACACTTAACACGGCAGATGGACAACATGGTGTCCTGCTAATCCAGTTTAGCTAGCACCAGGGTCAATCCTCCTGAAAAGCCCTTCATGTACACACACCTCTGATGCTGGCAGTAGTGTGTCCTGTCTGAGGCCATGGAGGTAGGGATGAACGGAGAGACGGGTACGAACAGACCCCAGAACAGAGATAAAAACAGCAGAATGGGATGAGGAACCGAACAAAGCGCATGAGAGATGGAGGAGATGATAGCGTAGGGACGGATAACGCGGCGCTGGCGGAGGAGACCGGTGTAGAGTGTGTCTCGGGGGTTTTTCCGAGGCTTAACGAGAGTGAGGTGCTCTTTGTGTGTTTGTGTTGGGGAGAACCCCTGCCGCTGTGGCGCTTTTGTCCGCCCAGATCCCCCATAATGCCACTGCACTAATTGTTTAACACAGAAACGTGTCTTTTCTCTCTTTAATGTTTTTGTTTTTATTGTTGCGCCGCGCATTCATTACAAAACCTTTGTGGATTTGGAGACTCCTCCCTGTGTCTCGCTCACTCGCTCTGTCTGCCACCCCATCCTCTCTTTTTCTCTCTGTTTTTCACGTCCTTTCTTCTATGGAAAGAGGGGAACGTAAGTATCAGCAGAATTGAGAGGATGGCTGGCAGGTTGCATCATTTGGAGAGAATAGGAGCGTGAGAAGCCGTGTTAGCCACTGCATTAGCATATATGCATGTACAAACCTGGCGAGTGACGCCCCAAAAAATAAATGTCTGGAGGTATGCCTGCACTCACAATTCTCCTTCTCCGATTCACTTTCAGATCTGATTGTCCCAAACGGATGGCTTTTATGAAGCATTATAACCATGACTATCACACGTCTCTTCTAGCGATACTTGCTTGGGAAAGCACCCCAATTGCTCCTATATACGGGTTACACTATACTGGGGCTATACAAGGGCTGCAACTCTAAACTGCCATAAAAGATTTATCAGCAGTTTGTACTTCAGTTGATTAGAGGAGCTCTTGAGTTAACACTGGACTCGGCACAATGAATTTTAGACTGCCGTGTTAATCTATGGAAAACTCCTCTGAGAGAAACAGGCAAAACAAACTTGTTTCTCATGGTATCAGTGTTTCCTGCTCGGCTATTCAACAGTGGTGCTGCTTAATCTACTGCACCGTGGCAAAATAAATTATATTTTCACTGAGTTGTGACTTTGCAGTCTGAATTGAATGCGATGAAATGAAGAGTTGGTGGTACAAAATAATACAAAGACAATAAACAGATTCTTAAAAATTGGTTCTGCTTCAGGACCCAAAAATTCAGGTTCTGCTTTACTTTGGACTCAAATGGTGACTTAACACAGTAACTCAATTCTTTATTATACAGAAAAGGCAGGACTGGTTTTATCCGTTAGGAATCGACCTCAACCCAAAGAAGGGAAATGGTTGGGCAACAAGGGGGTAAATGTATTTGTGACATCTTCCGAAAAGGTAAAGTCTTTCAGAAGCAGAGCGAGTTGTTTAATTTTGACTAGTAACACGCATGAAAAAAGTAAACAGCGTCAATTTTGATTTCACATTGACTTTAAGTACTGTTAACAAATTCTTGAAATGAATCAGTTAAAAAGACTAAAGTTAACGGTTGGAATGAGTCTTACGTATTGCTTACTGAATCTGTCAAAACGGTTAATGAATGAACAACTAACTCGTGTACTGACTGGATAAAAATAGCTTTGTTCAAATAAATTATATTAAAAAACATTTAAATATAAAGTATTTTACAAAAACATGGTATTGTACGTTTTTTAGTAAATAATTAACGCAGCAACAGGAATTGCAGTATGTAGCAACAAAACACTGCTAGGTTTAGTATAGAGATTAGGTTATTAACAGTCATTAAAGTTGTAGTTTTAAAATGCAAATAACTTCAGATTGCGATATCTCCCACTTGGGAGGACGACACCTGTGTTTTCTAACCACAGTCAGGCAATAGGGAGCAGCCGTCCAACACACGAGCGAGTACAGACCTTTCAACCTCCCTAAGGAAGGAGCTAAGGCCGTGTGTCTTGACGATAAGGCCCGTGTACGTGTGCGCGCCTGTAAGAGCGAACGTGTGTGCACACACTCAGGGTGACCCACAATAGCAGGACGAGATAGTACTATCTGCTTATGTTAATTAGTCTTTAAGTGGTTGAGGAGGTGGCAGCAATGTCTTTCTCCCTAAAAGTGCCCCGTCCTACTTAACCTACTCCTATCACGATTAGGCCCGCTCATTCAAACACGCACTGCACGTGCACCCAACATAAATGGCTGCGGGATCGCGCAAATTGATTAATCAGCTTCTAAATGGATGTAAAGTGCTGTAGCTAGCGTGACCTGGACACCAGCGTCGCTCTTTAAAAGCTCTATGAGCTAAAGAACCGATATCGAAAAAGTGAAAAAGGAACTCTCGAAATTTTACAAGAGCGTGATACCATAAAGCACAATACAATTAAATATGATACAAAGGTCCTTTTTGTGCCGTTTAGCACAATGTTCAATACGGGCAGAGATTAGAAGGTGAGGAGACTGTTCTCAGGTTGCAGGATGGAATTTGAATCAAAATCCCATTGGATGCTTATATAGGCAATATTTAAAATAAAGAGTTTAAACCCAGGGGTAAATTCAAAGCCCATGTTCATATTTTACCTTTACTATTCATACTTATGACCCTGTCTCTGCATTTTGAAAATCTTTCAAGTAGTTACGGCATTCATGTCATCCCTGGAATGTCTTCAAAATTCACAGATGAGGGCAACACGCAGAAGCACCATCACAGAATACCCAACATTACTAATAGGTTTGTTGCAACAGCTTGAGATTGTCTACTACACTGGACAACCCAAATCCATTTACCCTGTTGTCAGAAGTAGTGCAAACACGTGGAGTATGTCAGGAATAGATAGGGGCAACTGTTGATGATGACTCATCGCGCCACATCCAGTGTAGACAGATTCACAGATTATAATGCTTTCTATTTGCTTTTAATGTGTCACGTCGCTCGTGTTTAATGTAACGACAGTGTAAGGCTTATGAGACTAATAATTTTACTTCTTGGCTGACATCCACAATCCTTTTCCATACAACCTAGGGCTGTTCGACAAACAATATCATATGGAGACACAATAAAAAAAAGAAAAAAAGAAAGAAAAAAATCATTCTCAAGGTATAACAAGCATGTGGAAAGGTTTTTATTCCTTATTAATGATAAATGAATATAGTGATAAATATTGATATCACATGATACGGGGGGAAAAAAATATTGTGATATTGTTGCCCTAATACAACCCACATGCCGCTTTTCATCACTTTTCATGATCCAATAATTCACAGTGAATAAAATCAAGTCCCTGCCTATGTTTTTTTTTGACTATCATGTTTTAATCTGAAACACATGAAGTTGGATGCAAAAACCATTTCATTTTGACTTCCAACTATTGGCCCCTTGTTTTTCAGCGAGCAACTACGGAACTAAGGACTTAACTAAAGACTAGGGACCCATTGTGAGAAAAAAATAGCATAATCTCTTTCTCTTCTTTCCATCTCCCTTTTCACTGTATCATTTGTTTCCACTTTTGCTCCCTTCTCTCCTCTCTCTCCCGCCATCATTCTCTCTCAATTTCTGTAATTCCGTGTTTGGTAGCAGTAGTTCCGAGGCAGTTCTCAGGAAACAGCACTGGATGTTGTGGTTAAGGTCCAGAGATAGCAGATTGCATTGTGGTCCCACAGCACTGGCATTGTGGCTGGATTTGTCCGGTTTTATGTAAACGCAATACTCTTTTCACCTGAACTAATACAACCAGTGGCGTAAAACCCCTTACTGCTACCGACGGCATTTTTCTGCTAATCTCTATGGATTTAAGTCCCTTGCACACATACCTCAGGCCAACGACTGATAACCCCCCGGCTCCCCACCCCCTCAGCTCTTTCCCTCTCTCTTTTTCCTCATTCCTCTCACTCTCGTCTCTTTTTCTTTTCTCCTGGATGGCAGCAAAGCAGCCTTGCAAAAAATGAAAGTGATGGAAAGATTTAAGCAGGTGGAGAACGAGAGAAATCACTTTCTCAATCCCATCTCCCAGTGGCAGCAGGAGACAAAGAAAAAGATGGAGAGAAAAAGAGAGTGCGGGGGGTCAGGGATTCAGGTAACGAAAGAAAAAGAGACAGAAAGCAGGAAAAATGGAATTCCGCACCAGTCCAAGTCTGATGTGGTGTACATACATCATCACTGTCATTGGATGGTGAAAAGCGATTGGAGGATGAGTTTGATAAAGAACTAACACACTCTTTTGCTCAAGCTCTTTTGCAGACACACATACGTATACACTCTGTAAAATGGGGTATGAATTGGGTAAACAGAGGCTTTGAGGTGTATTATCCCTTGTTTGATTTGCACACAGATTGATAGTCTGTTGTGTATGTGTGTGTGTGTGCACAGGGGCTCCATGCAAGGAGCAGGATTCCAGGGACAAATCGACCGGAAAAGACGGAAATGTAAATGTAGCTCAGCGATCTACCTCTGATCTCAAAGGTACACACACAAGGACAGAAAGATACACACACACACACAACGCTATAACGGGGCCAGCTAGTAAATCTATCTGTGTGACTCTCTTGTGTATTGCATTATTGATGCTGCACCTGATAGTCATATTGAATTCATGTGGAAGTTTTATGAATGGCCTATGTGGCCTTATTTCGCTGGCATTCAGCAATGAGTACATCATGCAGTTGCATATCCATATGATGCAAAGCTGTGTACATGTATACCTTGTTGCCGTTGAATATTGTTTCACTCAGAAATATGAGGTTACAGATATATAATTGTTTGAAGTTGTTAAGATCATTCCATGTTGACTTTTAACTAGTTTTCAGCAAAATGACTAACTTTCTTTCCAACAAAGTGCAGCGTAGCATGACAAAATATAACTCCATTTCAGAATAAATTTAAGTGAATCAATTTGTTTAGGAAGGTTCAAGTAAATGAATCTGTTCAGAACATTTGTGTTTTCAATATCTGTTATATCAATTGGGGTGTTTTCTAGTTTCATAATAAAAAAGAGGTGGAACAATATAGAAAGATGTTGCAATGTACCTAGCTACTTTTTGTTAGTAGACTGTAGTGTAGCTTTTGGTGTAAGCAGTGAAAGTAGCTTTCCCAGTACAGTGTGAGACCAGGGACTTTGCAAGTGCTAGGGCGTCTTACCAATAAACTTGATTTCTCAAGTTTTGGCTTGTCTTTCTCCTTTTCCTTCGTCTTTTCTTTCTTCTCTTTGTCTTTCTTCTTCTCTTCTTTATCTCGCTCCTTCTCCCTTGCCCGTTCCTTCTCACGTTCCTTTTCACGCTCCTTCTCTCTATCTTTCTCCTTCTCTTTTTTCTTCTTCTTCTCTTTCTTGTCCTTCTTCTTGTCCTTGTCTTTGCTCTTGGTATCCTTGGGGTACGGGAACAATTTATCAGGGAGTATTGGTGGCAAAGGGGGCAACATTGACGGAACTCGTAGGCAGGTCTGGGGGCTGAAGAGTGGGCTGGTGGCGCCAACAGCAGCGGCAATGTCTTTGGTTCCTTGAGATATCCTCTTCTCCTCCTTGCCTCGCTCCTTGCCCTTGTCTCGTTTCTCTTTCTTGATTTTTTCTTTATCTTTCTTCTTGTCCTTGTGCTTGTCCTTCTCTTTCTTCCCGCTAATGCCATCTCTCCGCTCTTCACCTCCGACTCCTAGCGATAGCTCTGGCCAGGGCATCTTGTTCTCCTCTACCTGCCCTCGCACCTTTTCTCGCTTCTTCTCCTTGTTCTTGTCCTTGTTCTTTCCTTTCTCTTTGCCCTTCTCCTTGAGTCGCTCCTTGTCTTTCTTCTTCAACTTGGCCCTGAAGTCCTTCTTGAGTTTCTTCTTCAGAAGGGTAGTGGTAGCTGGGTTTTTTCGTTCCTGGGGAGGTTTGTGAGGTGGCGGCGGTGTGGGAGGTGAGTCAGGTGGGGACGACAAGTAAGTGGGTTCTGGAGGTGAAAGACTTGGGGTCTGAATTGGCTTTTGACCCTGATTGGCCTTTCGGATGACCTCGTCTATAGAGTCATCCATCGTCCAGTGGTTGGGTGGGTTGAGATTTGGGGGAACTAGTGGAAGTGGGTGTTTTCCGATGAGAGGTTGTGGAGGTTTGATGTGGCTAAGTATATGTTTGGGTGCAGGTTTTGGAGGGTTTGGCCCCTCACTGTCCGAGTCCGAGTCGTAAGCAAATGGGTCTGATGTGCCATCTCCATCCGCACAAGCACGTGCAATAACAGCAGCAATAGAGTTCTCAATATCCTCATCTCCTGTATCATGAGCTCTGAACTGGCCATCACGAGAACTATCATCCCCAGGAGGTCCAGCCCAACCACGTCCTGTTGCACCCAAATGGGCAGGGCTTGGCCTTGGGCTACGTGGGCTTTTGGGCCTACCGGGTGACCTCTTTCCTGCCTTCTGATTGGACCAGGTTTTGTGCTCAGGCGGGGTCTCTTGGCGGCAGGTAATAGACCCTCAGGCCTGGGACTCTGTCCGCCGTGACGACTAAGCCAGTTCTCATCATTCTCCTCTTCCTCACCATCCTCTTCCTCACCCAGGGAGACCTGCATGGCCTCGGCAGAAGTGCCCATATCTGCAGGAACTGGCTCCTCCTCTTCCTCATCTGCCAGAAGGAAAAGTACAAATATTAATCACATCCAACCAGAATTTTCAAAAAGCAAGAACAGAGAGCTGAGAAACAGGATCAGATAATTATGTAAGCCCGACTGAAAACCACTGATTCAGCCCTGTTTTGTAAATATGACAGATAATAAGAAAGAACGTGACAGGGAAAAATAAGAAAAAGGGCAATATTGACATGAGCAATATTAACAGAGAGGGAACATCTCAGGGTGGAATGGAGGGCGGATATCAGAGCAACAGATCAAAATCATCCACACCTGATTACACAGCAGAACAACAGAGCGAACAAGATACACACTAGACTTGTGCCGGTATTCGGTAATGCGATATATCACGGTAATGAATATGCACGATATTACACACACACAAAATCAGACCCACATCCAAATGCAGAAGCAATCTCTAGTTAAATCAAACTTTTTTATGTCTCCAAGCACTCCAAATGCACGCACACACACTACACACCAGGGTGGTGTGATACCAGTTAACCAGTGGTAATCTGGCCACTGCAACTCTCTGCACCACAATAGATGACAGGAAGTGCAGGCAGGGCCCTCTGACACTCTCTATTATAAATAGTGTAATCTATATGGTAATATTGTTGTATTCTATAAGCGGAGAATGGGGATAAGATAACATTGTGACTTTAGGCTTTCTTCCGACCGGTGGAATGGTAATAGTTATCAAAGGTTATTTGGGAATGACACGTCAGCTGCTCTCTGATTGGCTGGGGCCGGTTATTTATGATACAAATTATGATAAAGATGATGTCTCTTCTGCGTCGGTTGCTCTCCCTCTCCTCGGCCCTCTTGCACAATAAATTGCTATCGTTAATCACGGGAAGGCTTTGTGCCGGCGTGATTACCGCGCCAGCGCCGTAATAAGAATTTTTATTTAAATGAAGAATATGGATTTGTCACCGCCTCCTCAGCATGAAGTAAAGTGACAGTATTTCACAGCGCTGACATTTAATTTGTATGGGGAAAAAAAGCAGCATGGGTGATATTTGCATTTTATGGCTCCATCCTCCATTTCCTTTCTTGTTGGAATAGAAGTACTCTCTCTTTTCTTTAACACAATTGGACGTTTCCAAGACCAAGGTACAAAAAATAGAGTCTGAAACTCTTAAAAATGAAGTCATTTTTTTAATCCACCAAATGGTCAGTATGGTGCTTAACCTTCAGGAAATGGTATTCATCCACCTCATACTAAAAATTCAAACTAAAAAGTTTTAACATTAATTTCATTTGACCTGAAATAAATCAAAATTAAATTAAACACTAGAACGGGTGACTCATTACTTATTTAGAACCAAATTGGTTTGTTGTTAATGATCAAATTATATTTTCCTATAATTAAAGAAAACAATTTGTTTTTTAAATTAACTTTTTTAATAACGGGACTCAAAGGTTTAGCTTAATGAATGTCGCTAGAACTAAATTTTATATACATACTATAAGTATTACACAAATGCTATTTAGAAAGTGTCCAAATCATTACATAGGTGAAAAATGGTATGGAACGTTAAATTTTTTGCATTAGGATGAAAATCATGTGGCAACAGGGTCATAACTAAATATTACATTTTCAGCAATTAAAATGAATCTAATTGGGTGGGGTGGATAAGATGTTTAAAACTACTTTTTATTTTGTATGTCAATCATGTTAATAATAATTAATAATTAAAAAATAAAATAAAATAATAGTTCTTTATAACAGTCTTAGTTCTCAGTATGCATGGGATTTGTGCCAAAATCAACGACATCATACTTAAGACCCACATATTACATGAAAATCAGTGTGTGTGAAACAAAGTGCTCACAGGGGGGATTGAAATGAGAGATATCTGCAAATGTGTGTGATCATTTTCAGACATCAGGCCTCTACTCGTCCGTCCAGTAGAGAAACAGCTCCGTTTTCACTTGCAACCAGTTTCTCTTTCATCTGATATAAAAAAAATCACCCCCTCCTTCCCATTTCATTTGGCACTGCCGAAGAAAAGCAGGGATTTGTACACTTGCACACATAAACACACGGCGCTTAATTGATTGTGTCACTTACAAATGCGAATAAGACTAAAGACAGGGAGTGATAACGGGAGAAAGCCACTGCACCAAAAATGGTACATGGGAATGAAAACAAGCTTACACACACATTGTGAAGTAATTAAAATGGATAGATAAGAAAGAGAGTGAATGAGAAGAGAGAAAGAGCTGTCAATTTATTGGAGTCCAATGCCTGATGCAACTAACCAGCTTTCTCGTACTGATACACGCACACACACACACACACACACACAAATAGTTAGGTATGGTAAGAGAGGGACTCATATCACTTTCATTAAAATCTCCCCAACCCCTCCCACTGTGGTACATTAAAAAGGAAAAGTAGGATTTAGGCCTACTGCAATTAAAAGCAGCTCGTTTATTGGGGGTTGCAATCAATGGAGAGCGCGAGAAACAGGAGAAGAGATAAGATGCGTTTAATGTTCCAATTCCGCACAGCCTCTGTGCGGGACAATTACTTACATCGGAGAGCATCCTGTGTGCATGTGCAAAAAAATAAAAATAAAAAAATTTAAATCAACCTGTAGGAGTGTTTAATGAAGGAGAAATCTAAACCACACAAAGATTCCCAAAACACCTTATACCGGTTTAATTGCAATCATAAGTTGTCATTAGGGATGTAACGATTCACTCAACTCATGATTCAATTTGATTCATGATTTTGATTTCACGATTCGATTTTCTCACGATTTTTTTTTACAAAATGAGATTGAAGACATTATACAGTAGGGCTGTCAAAATGGCTGAAAAACTAAATTCGAATTTTTTACTTAAATATTATCAATATTCGAAGTATATTCGAATTTAAAAGGCATAATTGCAGTTAGGGGGAAATAAATCTTTTGGATTCTCTCCTGAGGCCACAAGAGGGCGCATCGAGCAAAATATTATGCACGTTTCTTCAAAGCATAATAAAATAACACGACTATCTTTGAAAAAATTGCATAATGTTTAAATTAATGTTTATAAACCTTATATAATTAATAAAGTTGCTTAAACAATTAGAAACAAAACAACATGCATGTATGTATAGTTTAATACAAAGGACCAATCACAAAGAGTACTTTCTTAATTTAAAAACTTGAGATGCAGTGGGATGGGAAAAACCGCCATAAAGTCTTGAGACATGTTTTTTAAAAGTTGAACTTACATAAATTTTACATAGCTTTCTAAACATGTGGCTCTCTTGTGCGAGAGGCGAGTGCAACGGTGATATTTGTCCCTCTAGAAAATGCGATAAATATGCGTTCTGTGTGTGTGAACGGCTTGGTTTCGGTTTTGACGTAAACAACATCTTCCAGTCTATGTGGATTTTAATTTTAAATTCGATGAATATTCAAAAAAAAATTTGACAGCCCTATTATACAGTAAATGAAAAGGTGTCGTTTTATTAGGCTATTGCTGCGACGTGCAGTACACATGCAAACCGCTAGTCTGCACTGTCCACGGGCATGTTGCTGGTGTAACCAGCAGTACCACGGCAAAAGCCAAAGAAGAAGCGGCTCATCGGAGAAGCATTATAGCCGTGACGGTGGCAAATAAATATCAAATCATTAAATCATTATTTAAAACTACAAAAAGGAGACAACAACAGAACAGGAGAAGATGGCATGCTTTCAATCTCCACATGGACTTGTACCATGGCAGATCAACATTGTTTGTCACGGACAACTACAGATGTATAATGCTATGTAGTATAATAAATAATAAGACACTTGTTTTTTGCTTTGTTTTATTTTATATAAGAAGGTGTAACATTAAAATATATTAAAGTGCACATAAACACACACAAAACTCAAGTACATACAGGGGGAGGGGTTCTAGCAGACCAATCACAGCACTTGCGGTCTGCGTAGAATTGACGCACTGTTAGATTTTTGGAGAGGTGCACGTCAGGCTACGGCGTAGCCTATGGCGTAGGGTGTGCGTCTATGCGTAGGCTACAGCGTAGGTTCGATGCAGAAGTATAAATTGGGCTTTATGAACACTGCTTTAATATGCTTTAATATGCATTGTTCAAAGGCAAGATGGAAAGAAAATACCACATAAACTTTTCTAAAGATAGTCATTTCCCCTCAGAGTTACATTCATATAAACGCCTACTCCAATTGTATCGCGATTTGTTTGGCATCTCAACCGATTTGAATCATCACATATTTGAATCAATTTTCGACCGGCTCGCAGTTAATCGTTACATCCCTAGTTATTAGGGGAAAAAAATCTAACTGTACGGTTCTCTACACACGGTTCGGCACGCGGTTCAACTTAAATCTGACAACGCATGTGCTGGAATATGAGCATTTATTCCGTCATCACCCAGGAGCTGATAGCGCGCGCACAGGTGAGACCTGAACAGCACACGTTGATATCTGTGTTTAAGGTAAACTCATTTAAGCTTTGCCAGTTTAAACATTTAAGAGCCAGAGGACGAGAGTTTGCGCGCGCAGTGAGAAGATTTAAAAACTAATGTTAGACCTACCTAAAAAAAACTAAAAATGTTATTTGTATCTTTACTCTATTGTATTTATTTGTGCTGTTGCTTGTAGTTAGATAGATTATTCTTATTTTCTTTATTTTTATTTGACAGTATAGTTTTTGCCTAAACATAGCACATACCGAACCATACCGAAACCGTGACTCTAAGACCGTGATACAAACCGAACCATGAGTAAGTTGAACCGTACTAGCTATCATATTATAAATTACAAAAAAAAAAGATGAAGACGACAAAGAAGTTTGTCTTCTTTCATTAATTGTTTCACCCCTGAAACAACCTTTTTTTTTTTTTTACATGACATCATAAAGGCCACTTAACTTTCAACCAATGGGGGTTGAGAAAATTTCATGCTTGGAGTAATCCTCCACAATTGACTGCAAACTCACATTCAACTTTTCAATTCCTGATTGGAAAAAA